CTCCTGGGTATCGTTGTGCTGAGGGATCAAATGGATCAAATGTAAGCATTAAGCATAACTCAACTTCCAATCCATCCAGAATTCATCCAGAATTTTTCAGCACTTCAAGACGAACAAGGATTCAACGACATCAAGTAAAAAGGGCAGATGATGGGAGAACGCTGCCCAGAAAGGAGTAATCTCTTTGACATATGAACCTCTCTCTGCAATTTTGTAAGAATAACGGAGATCTTATATGCAAACAATGAGAAACAGGGAAGAAACAAAGAACTGCGTATTTGTCTCACATTTTGATCAGCAAATGCCTACATTTATGAAGCTGGTTAACTGGCTATGTTTCCAGACTGTACCCAATTTTTAAGCAAGCCAAGGTATAAGAACAGTTCTAACTGGAAGGACAAACCATGACCTATTAACACACACATAATTCAGTAATCTTTCAGAACAGAAAAGGGTCTGAAAACTTGAGCCCTTAAAGAAAGGCAGTCAAAGCATTGGACATCTTTTCTTACAAGGTGATCTTTAACATTTCCTCACTGCCAAGACCTACCAAATATATGTGATGTACCTGACTGAGATATTGTTCTTCCCCACCTTTTTTGTCTTAATAAAGGCTATTTAAAAGCAGAGCTCTATACATATGTTTACAGTACCTTGTCAGGGAAAAAAAATTCCCTTGTGCTGATGCTCTGAAGATGGCACTCATCAATGTTACTATATGTTTTTCTTCCACTCTTAACCCAAAGCTCAAAATTGCTTAGAGCACAAAAATGAACTGAAGAGGACAGTCCAGCCAGAATTTTCATTGCTTCTGATGTCACAGTATAGCATTTTGGAATGCCAGTGGAGGATGGGAGAAGAAAGGAAACAGCAACTGACGTAGCGGGGACATTATTTTCAAAGGAGAGAGAAATTTTAGGACAAAGATGAGTCAGTGGAACACAGTAGGAGTTTGAGGGAGAGGAGATATATTTCTCTGTATCATTCCCAGTCCATTATTTTGTTCCCAAAGTCTTCTGAGGATGGCCATATGATATTGCATCAGCAACATTTTCACCCATCTGTCATGTTCTCCAAGAGCAGATATACAGACAGATTAGGATTTTCTGACCACTTCACCCTATCAGGAGTTAGTAAATATGTTTGGAAATAGTTTGCCAAAAAGTTCCAATGAAAAGATTAAATTCTCCATAGCAAGTAAAAATCAAAGGTTTCTTTTACATACACCTCTATTTAGCGAAAACTTTCTCAACTTCATATTAGAAAGAGGTGTCAAGCATATTTTAAGTCAATTTCTCACATAGTTTGACTGATACCGTGCTTATGCTGAATTTTTCATTTTCAGCTATACTTAATATTTAACACAGTCTTAGGCATATGAGAAAGTGAATAAGATGTGTCTCAGTTTTTGCAAGTATCAGACCTTGGACTAAAGTTCCAAAAGGCAATGCATTTTGGTAAGTTGAAAAACTGTGGAAGCACAGAACATGAGAGGTGAGGCTCCCCTGGAACAAATTTATGTTTAAAACAAACATCGAATGACTGTGCCTGGGTGCAAAGAAAGGTCATAAACCATTTTATTGCTATTGTTTAGTTTCATTTGCTGAAGTCTTAAAGCAAAATGGATATTATCAGATTAAATAAACTAAACCAAATATTAAAAAGACACCTGTTATTCCTCTCTTTGATTGCCTTTTATTTTTTTACAGCTCAATTGAAACTGTACTGGCTCAGAGAATGAAATGAGACAGAAGTCCACTGATCAGCTAAAAGGCTATATGGGCAACTGGCTTCTAGCCCTTGCTCCAGTGAACAGCTTCATACCTGATTATAAAGTATCTAGGTGGCTATCATGTGCTGCTGCTGACCTAAGGAGTTCTGTCCCAAATCAAGCAAAAAATGCACTAAGACTGGGTCTTCTGTAATCAGTCTGAGTTCTTCCAACAGCTGAATGCAGCAGACTGACAATTGCTACACTCAGACTATTTTTTTATGAAGATGGGAGGCTTAGCCACTATCTCCGAACCATTCTCTTGTGTTGACTCACCTATATGAATTAACGATATGAATCCCAAGGGTGTACTGGCATTCCTTCAGTTCCACATAGCCCACACAGAAGTTATCCTGCATGTGCCTGCCAACAAATGTATAGGAAGCTCTAGGTTTTGAAGGTCCATTTGTTTTACTTGAATGCCTACTAAGACAGTCAGTTATATAAATCCTTCTAGTGAACCTAGGCTTGTTTTCACTTCTAGACTTGTTTTCACTTTCAGACTTGTTTGCACTTCTAGAAACATACATTTAGAACATGTAGTCTACTGCTTGTTTCATGAGTTCAGGGCAAAGACATTTCACTGACATGATGTTAAGTATCTCTGATGAATTTGCTCCAAGATAGCTTTATTTAAGAATAATTCACTAGAATTGGGCACTCACTCATGTCTTATATCTTCCTGATGTACTTTATTCAAGCAGAGGCTTGGCTGTGTAAGCTGTTTTAATTAACACTTTAATCTAAGCCTTCACCATCTGCTCTCCTTTATAATTACAAAAGTAAAGGGAATCTCATTCTCGGTAGTATCATTAAAATTCAAGATATTAAATAAACGACATAAATGCATGCCATTTTATTCATTCCAAGGGCGTTCATTTGCTGTGTTCCTTTTTACTGTTTTTGTCTCATCTAGGACTCAAAGGACAGAGCAGTGCTAAATGGTGCCAAAATATTTCCTTGACTTTGCTCTTGGGACTGCCTTTGAAATCATGGATGATTCACATGAGCTTCTGAATCACAGAACAGGAACATGTTGTGTAGCAATATCATTCTAGGCAAATAAAAATTTGCTTTCAGGAAATTGAATAGATTTTTTCTATCTTTTTCTGTATCAAATTCTCTAGATTTATCTGTTATGGGGGAAAAGAATATTCATCAAGAACATAGAAATAAAAATATAGGCTACACTACCAAAAGATGCAAAAAATGAATGACAGAAGTAAATAAGATTCCTTGAAGCATTTTTTGAGTTATTGCAGCCATGTTATTGAAAGGATTGTATTTGAACATGATCAACTGAAAACAAGATCTGAAGAACTTCTAAAATCTTCCCAATTGTGAGCCACCACATAGAATTTACTGGCATCATTTTGCTCTCTAGTGTTTATATGAGCTCTAACAGGATGTTACTTTAGAAGCAGTTGGACATTTTACAGTGTGAATTTTTCCCTGCAGGTTTTTTTTTGTGTGTGTATAACTTCTGTTTGCCTGAGAGTACACAAATATTTTGAAGATAATACAGGGATGCGATATACTTAGATCTTTCATGCTACTAAATGATGCATTCTATACTCTGAAGATTACAAAGAGGCAATGAAATGAAGCTATGGCTGTAGGAATTTGGATTTAGATGCAATAATAGAAATATGTTATCAGTTATGTACTTGTGATCCCTGTGCATTGCACAAGGAGAATTAGGCAATTCAGAAAATATCCCAAAATCCAGCATGTTGACTAGGGAACTGTTTAAAGTTAATAATGGAATGAACACAGTGTCTTTCTCCACAGCATAAGGCACCTGACAGTCTGCAGAAGAGCAATTAATTTTTCCCCCTCCTTTATTTTCTCTCCTTTTTTTTTTCTTTTTCAAGAGGGATTGCTAAAAGTGCCAGCACTGCTCCTGAATACCTCTCCCATAGACACAGTTCAAGCACTGATTCAGTGATTCGGAGACAAGGAAGGCTGAAATCGTGCGACTCACTGTCCTCAATCATTTGCCGAGCAGTGGGACTTCTGGATTCTCATCTCTGCTAAAGCTTCTCTGTTCTGTGCTCACTCTAAAGCTGTCTAGCATATAATTGTCTTAGAGATCACAGACCTAGAGCTATTCTTGCTTGTTGTCCTGAGGGCTCCACAAATTTTGCATTATCTTCTGCTAATACATATGATTTACCTATGGAAATACCTAGTCTTTGCAGCTGTGAGACTTTGTTGCTTTTATGGGCAAAGGGTACTTTCAGCATCTCTAACGAGTGTCCAAGCCACACGCTCATGACAGAAGGATGCCCACAGACACCACTGTCTTAAGGAAAACTGGACATAGCTTGGGACTTTGCTGCTACTCTATTTTCAGCATCCCGACTCAGCTTAGCCAGGAGATACTTTAGCAGATGCAGAACGTCAGCTGCAGCATATATAGAACCTGCAACTTCTCTGGGAGTTGACTGCTGAATTTCAGATGTTTTTAAGTTCAGTTAGCAACTAAGCAGATGTTTTCTCATTTGTAATTTTGAAGCTTGACACCTGAGATTCATCTACCCATTGTATCTGGCACCAAGGGCCTTTTCTGTATGTTCTCATTATTGCAATTACCATTGAAGTTGATGATAGCTGCCCTTTTCTGATTGCCAAATTCAATTCCTGCTAGCAGGCTTTTAATTAATTCTGATAATCAGTAGACCAATCATCAGAGAAAGGCAAAAGGGGCTCATAAGATTTAATTTTTCCCATACTTCCTCCTACTGAAAATTATGACTCAGTTGGAAAGAGGAGGCCAATATGTAGCACTGAATGATTCATTAAAAATATTTCAAAACTCTGACAGCATTTATCATTAAAGCTTTAGAAATGTGTTTCCTGGAGAGAATCCTGTAGTTCAGATCTTCCAGTGTGGGCATGCTGTTTCACCCAAACCAAAAGTGGGCTACAGCAGCTTCAAATAAGGTTTATAGACTTTGAAATTTCTACCTTCCTGTGAGATAATCTCAAGAAAGTTTGGATTTATGTCCATGTAGGCTTTTAGAACTGGCAAATAAACACTGTATGTTTTTTTTGTAGATGCAACCTAAACACAATTCTTGGGGAATTTTGTAGTTGGGTGTTAGTCAAAGATCAGAAAAGTTCTTGAGAACTAAGAGAGGGTAGTATATTTTTAATTAGACTAACTTGAATAGATAGAAAAAAAATAGGAAAGTCTTAATATCCAGAAACTTTTATTTGGGTATGGAGCAGAAGGAACAAATTTTAAAGCTTAACAGAAAGTTGAGTTCTTCCTCCTGTGCAAACCAAAAATAAGCATATTTACACTTGATCATTTTTGAAGCTTTTCTGCCTGAATCTCACTCAACCAGAACAGTAGACCTCTTTGAGATGATTGTATGTTGCACCAGTCAAAATCCGCAGCAGCTGAAACAAAGGAGTGATTGAGCAAGCTCATTTAAAAGGAAAAAGTGAAGCAGAAAATGTTTAATCTTAGATAACAAAAAATGTAATTAAGGTACAATCTGAATACCAATAAGCATATAGTGTCCCAGGCACTAGCTGCAATCTCTTCTCAGACACCAAAATGTAGGTGATAACCTCTTTACAAGCTCCTGCTGTCAGGGAGCTCACCCAGCAAAAGCTGTCTCTGCTGTGCATCAGCTTAATTTCAACATCCACACTATTCAACAAAGTTGTATAGTGTGGGCATTCAGATGTGTCCTCACAAAAAGTGTTTAACTGAGTCATGCATGGCTCAGAGCTCTCTTTTACAGCATGAAGTAGCACAGTCACATCTCCTTGGCACAGTTACATGCTATGAATTGAGCAGATAAGCAGTGACGGAGAGATGAAGTTTGTGTTAGAGTCATGTGAGCAACTGTCTATGCTGGTAAATTAAACATGGCTGAGACCTTTGTTAAACCCAAAAGTCAACTTGGTGTGAGATGGCTCCGCTGGTAAATTCACTGCCACAGACTCCCAACAAGACAGCTACACCCCACCTGCAAGTTGGTGTTCATAGAATATAACCCCATGCTGTTGGGTTATATGTACCTGCAAGTCTCTCTCACCTGCCATAGCTGATGTTGGGCCCATGATGTCACTCCCTGCTGACTCAACTGCTGATGATGCTTGAATCAGACACCCACCCACGAATCCTCAGGGGCAATCTTCCCCTCCCAGTAGGCTCCACGTGGCCCAGTTCAGACCCTAAGCTTGGGAGATCATCAAGTCCAACCTTTACCCCAGCACTGCCAAGTCCACCACTAAACGACGTCACTAAGGTCCTCACCTGCATGTTTTTTAACACTTCCAGGGATGGTGATCACACCACTTCCCTGGGAAGCCTGTCCCAATAACTTGTCACCCTTGCTAACTTCCAAGCTGCAGGAAGGGAAATATCACATTAATAAAGAGCTAATGCTAGTTACACGTAGCACAGAGTGTGGACCAAAGTAATGGCAGTTAATAGGTTCCAGGGTCACTCTTTCTTTTAGTTTACTCATATCAGGACAGCCATAAGGGCTGTTGCAGACATACCACACCGTCGTTCACTCCCAGTGATGTTCAGTAAGGCTATGCTGCTTACTTTGGCAATGAATAGTATGAGTCAAAACTGGTGCAAAGTAACTGGCTCTGGAGTGATCACTTCCTGTGATAAACCCCAATGACACTGTAGACTTAATTCTAAAGAAAAAGTGCTTGTTGCAAATAATTTGATAAGCTATATAATTTCTCTTGGGAATACTATGCAGCACAGAAAACTGACATGCTTTCCTTCACCTGACTGCATAAAAAAATGTATCATATAAAAAAGAGAAACTTGAATAATGAATGGCTTAAGACAGAAAAAAAACAGACACATGTATGGGAAATTGAGAGTCTGACTATGCTTTTCTGTAGTGTTTCTATTGAGATTAATTATGGTGGTTAGCATATGACTAACTCTCTCATTCTTTTTGTTGGAAAAAAAAAAGTGTTGAAATCATATACCTTATTACCATACAGTATGTCTGTGATCGTGACTTCTAAAGCTCGAAGAAAATACAAAAGAGACCTTTCTTAATCATTACTTGGTGTTAACACAAAGGCACCAGAAGGAGCAGATGAAACAAACCATTTAAGTTAATATACACTTGTCAAGCAAGAAACAGTATGATGACATGAATCCAGTCTCTCAAAGGAAGGAAATTTTTTTGTTCAGTGAAAACTGATATCTCTCAGTAAAACACCCAGTACAAAAATAGGAAATGAAGTTAAGAAATGTAAAGCTCTTCCATTCCTCTCATCTTTTCTCTTTGCACTAATAAATTATTATGTTTAATGTTATGGGATTTTACAGAAGAGAAAGCAAGCCATAGCTTGTCATCAAAGCTTGACAAAACCAGAAGTTCTCTTTTATTGTCAACATACAATGACAATTTTCATAGAACTATTAGAGGTGTCAGCTCCCTATAAATACTTGTGTCCTATTATAGGTAAGCCATACTTAAAGGACAGGAACAACTGAATGAAAACCTATCCCTTACTCAACAAAATAACTGTCAATGGAGTGCCAGCAATGTCATGTAGAAGATTCTGAATGACACATGTAAATCCCATGCCTCTGTGAGAGAAGGTACTGTTACTCTTCTTGCCTCACTGAGGGTGAGCATAAGGGAAAGCTTTGAGCACTCTCATGGAAATCTAGCATTATGGTTTGTTCCTAGGTAACATAATTTCAGCATGGTGATGTCAGCAATAAATCTGGATATATAAATATATTAATAGAAAATTAATAAAATACTGAACAATACAATGAGTGTAAGTTGCAACATAAGATGTATTATGCCGGTTGCAGATGGTGCATAACTCATAAAAATGTCACATTAATGATGTCTAGAAGTTTGTTCAAATCCTGTTGCAATTGACAATTTGGTCAGTATCATACCTGATAGGAATAGTAACCTGGTTTTGATAAGCAATTGCTTTTTTATACTTGGTGATTAAAATTTCAAGTTCTTCAGTTTGAGAATGTACCATGTTCCATATTGGTCCTAAGGGTCCTGTCTAAGTTGTAGGCCAATATTCCTCCAGCAGCAATATGAATTAGGTTTTTGGTTTCTCTGAAGTCATTCTGTCATTACACAGACCATCACAAAACAAAACCAATACATATATAACCCAATTTTCACTGAAGTACAACCATGGAATTATCATACTCTTAGCCTAAAGAGCAGGTACCTGAGATCAAGTGTCTTGTATTACTAAGTGTTCATGGTTTCCCCATTTTACAACCATGAACACAGATTAGATTACCTTTGTTATTCATGCATTTGGTCCCTTGAACTGGTAGCCATCCATATTCTATTAGCTAAAATAATGAGGAGTGGACCATACTGGTAAATGGATTTTTCTTTACTTTCCCCATTTATGGTGCAGTGATAAATAGATCCATTTAACAGACTACTTTCACTTGCTACCCCTAAGCTTTGATAAAATGGATTTTACAGTACTGACACAAATAAAATAATAGAGTCCCTAACATAGCAGAATTCCCACTATTGATCCAATTGGTTTGTTTTTCATCTTCATTTATAATAAAGATTTGCATGGTAACAGAAGCAATGGTAGTGCTGGTATTGGAAACAAATTTGTAAACACCAGCATATATATCCTTGAAAATCTTCTGGAGTTTATTCCAGGCGGTTAGGCTAATAGTCAAAGTATTGGTAGCTGCATCCTTTCCATTTATTATGTCCATAGTCTGACAATTATTGCTTAATGGTCCTAGCCTGGACACTTTATTACTAGTGATTTCTAAGTTGATAGAATCCAGTGTTCCTGTGCCCAATCCAACTGTTCTTAATGCCGTGGAAAGATCCCTAACTATGCAGGTTTTAAAGTTTGCAGTCTGGATGTAGTGTGTGCAAGGTAAACGTTATCCAAACCACTCATTACTTCAGCTGTGGTTATAATAAATTTCCACCCTTCAGAGGTACATGCCAAAGGACTTCCCCTGCCCTAAGGTTTGCTTGTCGTTGATTCTAGACAAGAGAATCCTTTTTTAAAATGATCAAATGCACTGGTTATCACTATATTATCTGCTTGCTTCTTAGTAATTAAACAACCTCACCTTCTGGCATGCTGATGCAAGTCACATGCTCCAGTATGTCCAAATCATTCATGCAGCCATTCAGCAATCAAAGCAGAAAAAAAGCCTTGAGTCCTGAATGGTTAGGCAAATACCATCATTTCCTGGTGTGCCGCTACATGCCCTATAGTAACAAGATGAGAGTTGTCAATATCTTATATTTGATCTCAATATTTGCTTCTCTATATATGAGATATATGGGGAATTTGCCCAATTTTATAGCATTATGCCATACAGCATAGGAATCAGTATATATGGCCTGTGCTCTATTTCTAAGAGCTAATACCACGGCACAGAGCTCTGCTAATTGACCATAACCTCTTATTTGCTCAACTATTACAGGTTCTTTGGCTACAAATACAGTAGCAGCCATTTCTTGCTGTTTACACTGTATTTTTTGAGTGCTCCTGTCAGTAAATCAGAGACCATCAGGTTGACGGGCTGAATTCGGGCATCCTGGCTAGAAGAACAAGGAGGCTTCATGTATTCAATGGGCATTTCTATATGTGCCACAACTTCAGTAATTTTACTCTCCTTAGTTAAGCCAGATACAATTTCATGACGACAGAGTACTCACCTTTGACAGTGGCCTTACACGCTACACCTAAAGGTGCTGGTTTACCAGCAAGCATGGGTTTAAAAAGTGTTACTGGCAATGGTATATGCTCCTTTCCTAGGTCAAGAGTTCAGTCACTACCTGTCCTTTGTAAATTGCTGACATCATATTATCAAAAGTGGAACGATCGCCGCCAGATAAACACATATACTGCACAACAGTGACCTCCTGTGGTAATTTTAATGTTTCTAGTTATTTAGACAATAAAACATGGACAATGGTTGGACTGTTCAAAACATACATTAAAGGAGTAAATGTATGTAGCAGAGTTGCTCCACCTGCATCTGGTTCATATCATAGAATTGTAGAACACCAGGTTGGAAGGCACCCCAAGGATCATCTTCTTGGAGGACAAGTCTTACAAGAACCAGTGCAAGTGCAGCGACCTGAACTGAGCTGGCTTTGGTGCCAAGTAACTCCACACAAAACACCACATCCCTTGTCCTGAGTGACCACCATAATGGAGCCCCAAGTCACGGACTACATGAACTCAGTGGATGTTTTGTATACATTTAAGAGCACTTTAAGGACATTTTACAGGTGCGTTCCATAGACCAAGGAATGCTACCTTTGTACTATATCAAAGGATGAGGAGTGGTGGTTAGTGAGTGGTGATGGTTAATAACTGGACAGTGTGGGACCTGAGCATGATGTAAACAGTATGGGATAAAGGGTGGAGAATGTGCTGGTTTAGGCTGGGATAGAGTTAATTTTCTTCGTAGTAGCTAGTAATCGAGTGCTCTGGATTTGTGCTGAAAACAGTGTTGATAACACGGAGACGTTTTAGTTATTGCTGAGCAATGCTTACACAGAGCCAAGACCTTTTCTGCTCTTCTAGGCTAGGGGTGCACAAGGAGTCAGGAGGAGCCACAGCTGGGACAGCTGACCCCAACTGACCAAAGGGATATTCCATACCATATGATGTCCATTGAGAGGAAAGCAGCTTACCTGATGTGTAAAAAATGCATACTGGTAACTGGTGCCAGCAAGGTCTTGCAACCTCTAATAGAATGTAAAGGACTGGATATCTTTAATTGGGGTTGAAGAATTCAAATTGGAGTTTTATACTGAACTTCCACATTGATAGGTGTCAGTTTCTTCTCCAAAGTAACAACTAATAGGACAAGAGGCCTCAGGCTGTGCCAAGGAAGGTTTAGATTGCATATTAGGAACAATTTCTTCACAGAGAGGCATTGGAACAGGCTGCCCAAGGAATTGGTAGAATCACTGTCCCTGGAAGTGTTTACAAATTGTGTAGATGAGGCCCTCAGTGACATGGATGGTGGCTTTGGCAGTCTTGGGGTAAAGGTTGGGCTTGATGATCTCAAAGGTCTTTTCCAACCAAGTTGATTCTATGATTCTGTGTCATGCTCAGCATATAAAGCTAGGGGAAGAAGGAAGGGAGGACATTCAGAGTGATGGTGTTTGTCTTTCCAAATAACCATTACACATGATGGAGCCCTGCTTTCTCAGGGATGGCTGAACACCTGCCTGCCAATGGTAAATGGTGAATAATTTTGCTCTGCTTGTATATGGGGCTCTTGTTTTACCTATTAAACTGTCTTTACCTCAATCCATGAGTTCTCTCACCTGATTCTCCCCCTCATCCCACTGAGGACGAGTGAGCAAGTGGCTTTGCAGTGCTTAGCGGCCAGCTAGGGTTACACCAGGCAACTGCCAAGAGAGGAAACATCCGCGTCCTTCTAGTTTGGGTCAAAAGGAAAACCCAGACAGCTCAGGGTCATAACCCATACAGCAGAGCACAATACACAAATGTCCTAAGCTCTATAAATTACTAAGACCTAGGCAACTGCTTTGGACTCCCTCTACGACACCGAAAATGGCCTTGTTCCTAATTTTGCAGAGACAAAAGGCCTGGTTCTGGCACTCATGAGAAGACCGAACAGACGGCTGCTGCTTTCCACCACCTTCAGACGCTCTCAGGCCGCCCTTGCGCTCCTGCCCTGCACACCCACCCCAGCTCTTGAAGACACACTGCACGTATGAGAAAAACAGAAGCCCTCGACCCCCCCGTGAACGCCCCTCCGTACCCCTGCGGTGCGGGCGCCACACTTCCCCTTGCTCGGGTCACACCCCACCCTTCCGCCACCGCACTGGGACGCGCGGGCAGCTCGCAGCTGGGCCCCCGCGGGCGGAGCCGGTGGGCAGGTGAGGCCCCACCTCTCCAGCAGGGAGTCTGCGGCTGTGAGGGATGGGAGTTGTTCGAGGCGGTGTTGCGTGTGGACGGTGCTGCGTTAGGCTTCCCGCAGCGGGACAGCAGGCCCGGTGCCGCGCTGCCTCCCGCCTAGGCCTTCTACCTGCGGACAGGGTCGGGGAGCCGCGGTGGGCAAGTGGAGGAGCTGTCGGTGTTTGTTTCAGTTTCGCTGGGTCTTTCTTTCTCTGGCCTTTCTACCCCAGGGTCTCTCCGTGCCCCGCGGCAAGGAGAGGTGCGGCTTTCCGGCAGGCCCGTGACTGTAGGGTTGAAGCTAACGGCGCGGTGTGGTGCAGCCACCAAGGGGGTTCTCGCAGAGTTCAACCCGGTTGTCTCCCGCCTGGCCCTGTGCCTGTGCTGGAGGTGCTAGTGCCTGGGTGCCAGGCTATCTCTAGCGCTTCAGACTGTTGCCGAAGCCAGGTTGGAAGAGAAGGAGCTTTTTCTGTGTCAGGTGAAGAGCTTGCTGTTTGGATGGGTGTTAGGAAGATCCTGTTGGGGAATGTGGAGCTAATTGCTGGCCTTTGCATAGCTCTGCAAAGCCCAGCAAAAGGAGAGTGCCATTGTTGCGGTTTCTTTGACAGCCAGTTCCTGCCTGACCGAGTTTCGGCAAGTACTGGCGGAGCTCCATGTATCTTTGCCATCCCAAAATCATTCCACCTAGTGTCCTCTTGCATGCTGCATGAGGGCATTTACTCCTTTTGCAGGGCTCTTTTAGAAGATGTCAGGTGGAAAAAAACACTCTGAAACACTCTGCCCTCTAGGTGAAGCCTAGTACTGCTCAGCCTGTTTGACTGGGGTTCCTGATCCCCCTTAGAGGAAGTTTTGATTTTGTTTCATAATCTTAAGCTGTGGTGTGCAGTAGAGATTCAGGAGAGTGGCAACCCAGCAAATTGCAAAGGAGAGAGAGAGCCTTTGGGATAATTGGGCTGTGCAGTTTCTCATGGACCAGTTAATGAAGTGACAGCAAACATAGTCTAATGTTTTCCACTCCTGATACCAGGAAGAGTAAGTGCTTTGGGGAATTCTTAGACATGAGTTGCAGCATAGTTAACATTTATGTGTACCTAAGAGCTCTTTAATAGGCTGCCTGCCTTAGGGTAGTTTACTTACACCCACGAAATTGTATTTGATGCACTTGGAGTAACTTGGCAAGTGTCCTGTGACATAATTCCTTAGACTTTTTCTTCCTTGTCTGCCACTCCCTTTTCCGATTAATGAAGGTTTGTTTACATTTTCTTTTTTGCTCACTAGAAGTTGAGAAAGTAATGTATCTAGAGGTTGGGTGGTGTTGGGATGTTTTTGGGGAGGCGGGGGACTTAGTTTGCTTGTTTTATAAATAAAGACCTGCAAACAGGTACTGCCTTTGCTTTTGTTAATGTGTGAGGAGGAAATGGAAACAAAAGGGTAAGTGCTTCTTGCTGTCTGTGCCTCTTGGTGTTCTTGGAAATAGTTTTCTTCATGAAGATGCATGATCCCCTGTATTAGAACACAGTATATGAAATTTGAATGCCGTTTCAAAACGGAAACCGAAGTTCTCTTGTTGCATCTGATCCTCTAGGTGTTGTGTTTACTATATTCCCCAGAATAACCAAGCCTGGTCTTCTGTCTCCAAGCTGAACAGCACAGCATGTTGCTCAAGTTCCAGGTGGGCTCGATTTGTTATTGCCTGGAAGAGGGTTTTACCATAAGCGTTTTCTTTTCCATTATCATAGGACAGTAATACCACATGCCACTAACAGGACCAGAGAAATCAGTAACCCTTAAGAGCCCACTTCCTCCAACATCCCAGATTCCAGGTCTTGGTGATCTTGCAAATGCTCCACATGAAATGCCATCCAGGTGCTGCAGGAAGTGGATCAAAGAGACAGATTCAGCTTATGTCAGGCTGGCAAAGCAAGGAGGCCAATCTGAATGGTGTCTGTCTTGCTCATTTTGTTTTCCTTTGTTTTCTTTGGCTTTGCTTGGGTGTGGTGGTGGGAAGTGCCTGTAAATACTGCAGAAGAATCCTCTGGAATTTTGAAGTTAAATGAAAAGTTAATGAGCGATGTCACCTTCTCAAACCATCCTTGTAGTCAGTTGTGTATAGGTATCTTGTGTCAAAATGTGTAGTCTTGCACTGTATCTGATCTAAGCAGATGATGACAATTTAGCTGCATTTCAGTGAGGTCTGTACCATTTATGCTTGGGCTGTTTAAGTAGCAGTCTGGTGAAAATGATGTCACAAGAAAGCTTCATCAGAGAACTTGGTAGAGGTTTATAAAGTGTGGGGTTTTGTTTTGTTTTTTGTTTTTTTTTTTTGTTTGTTTTTTGCGATGACATTCAGTTTGTTACAGTGCTGTATATATTTGTTCTTGTGTGAAGGTGATCTGTGGTTTTGTTATTTCCTTTATCTAAGAAGGAAGCTTGAGGAACTTGAGCATGCATGCTCTGAGCAAGGTGACAAATCCAGAAATAAGAATTAACAGAGCAGTAGAAACATTTCAAAGCATTTAGAGCAAGATAAAGCACAAGTGGAACATAATGCTGCAAGGTTCTGACTATCCATTTTATGAAGGGAAACAAATGGTCCTTACTAAATAAAATCAAGCACTTTTTCCTGATAAAACAGTAACCTGAAAACAAAGGTAATGCTTTTGCAACCAGATAAAAGTCAGAAAAGTAGCAGCTTTTGTCTTTTTCTCTCAAGACCTACTGAAGCACTACACTGCTGTGATAAGTAAATCCTCTCCAGCAGCATATGCTGCACCTGACTGGTACTTGCACTGCTCCAATCCCCCAGTGACCAATAAGCCACAGTAAGTCTGCTGAGACCTTACATAACTTCTTGGGTTCTTCACTTGGTAGTGTTTAAAATGCTGTTGTACTAAAGTAGAAGATATGTATCCCTTGTATAATAAACAGGTGTTAAATCTTTGCCTGCAGGAGCTATGTTTCCTTTCTACCAGATTATGTAATTCACAGAGAGTTTAAGGCTGATGAACATTGTGGTAACCATTGTGAGATAAGAGGCCCTTTCGATTTTGATACGAAAACTGTTTGGCAGCAGGATGCTGAGGACAAAGAAAAGGCAGAGAAAAAGAAGGTATGATGGAGAGGCACTCTGTCACTTGCTTGGTTTGTACAGCTTGTGAAGACACTTGTAGATGGGCCTGTTATAGAAGGGAAGCTGTAGTCCACCCAAGCTTCTGTGTTCCAGAGACAATCTTTATATTGCAGTTAATTGAGAAGAAAGCTGTGTTTCTCAAGTGCAGTAGGTATAGCATAAGAAACAGAAATGCAGTTTCCAGTCACATTATATAGGGCATATACTGAAGTGTGAAAGAAGGCCAGTAGTTAGTTTCCATCTCCTTATGCTTTTATTTCCCCTGCAGTTCAGTCTTGGTGAAGAGAATTTTTGTTTAGTAATTTTCGGGGAAGAAGAAATGAGAAGGAGAAAGGAACAGAAGACTTTTCCAAAAAAGGAGCGTGCTTTAGTTTAAGATGCAAGAGAGTCTCTAAAGATACTGCAGTAGCTGTCTTTGAACAGAAGATGTATCCAAGACAAGTATAGCGCAAGCTATGTCCAGAACAAACCTTTCTGTAGTGATCTTGGCATTTTGTCCAGGAAGCCTCTCTCCTGTCCTCCCTCTTTCATCCTCCACGCCCTTGCCTGTTTTAGAAGTTGAAACCTTATGGTTTTATTAATATTCTCTGTAATCTTGGTTGCCTAATTTACTGTAGGTCTTTGGAGTATCCATGGAAAGGTGTTTGATGTACTTGAAGAGAGGTAAGGATGTTGGATATTTTAGGAAAAAAGTTCTTAGCCTTTGCTGAGATGAGTAGTGCAAATTCAGAACAATGGCATGTGCAGATGGGAACGCCTCATTACTGAATAGGTTAGGGAATGTTTACTTAATCTGTGGAAAGAGGCAAACAAGCAATGTATGCTTACGCTACAATTTGCCTGGTGCTTGTAGGTGAATCTTTTTTTCAATCAGAGGTACAAGGACTGAAAATGGAAACTTGGCTTGCCATGGGGTCTCTTGAAAGGATCTTCAGTACTCTAAAAGTCAAACTTTCGTAACAGTAAGAGTAATGCAAGTCCATGTGGTGACTTGTGAAGTGAGACTGAGATCCATTTCTGTTTGTGTGAAGTTTGATAGACAGTTTCATTCAGTCATGTGAATGAAAGTTTCCATATGTTTTATTTAGCACCAAATATAAAGCAAATTTGTTGTATATTCAGCTCAATTTCAAAGTCTGCTGAGGTCCTGAAAGATAGTCTACACTGTTCTTTTGGAAGCTGAAGTTGAGTTTTTGTCTGAGGTGCTAAATCTATCAAATCTTTTTCTTTAGGACTACGTGCCTGACAAGGCAGATTCTGCGTCTTTAGCTTTAGCTTTACCTCCATACCACCATCTCTGGAATGGTTATCCTTCATAGTACCTTTCTTGTACCCTGAAAAGTGCCTTGTATATCTTGAAACTTTGCATGATGCTTCTTTCACAGCTGCTTCTTGTATCTCCTCTTACAGGAGGTTTCTATCCTGTGCTTATAGACTACCTTTCTGAAGAGTCTTTAAGTGAGACAATGGATCTAGCCCTGCCAAATGGTCTTGACTTTAGTTTTCTCAGTGTACATCTTGCATGTTGAAATGTAAGAGATATATTCCAAAACACCACAAGCAAATTTCTAAGCAATATTCAATTCCTTTGTTTGACTGTGTGATTATATTGCAGCAGCAAACTACTTCAACTATTGAGACTGAACATACTGAAAATATTTTTCAGTCCAGTCTGACTAAGCAGTTGCTCAGAAGACACTCATGATGGAGTCATGGAGATAAATGCCTTAGGGTGCCCTTAGGCACAAGTGCAAAAACATTCTGACTTCTAAGGGTACCTCTTCAACTCTGTTTGGAAAACATTGTTTCCCAGGTGGGCCCTTTCTCTAGAACATTAAGCCTTTATGCCACTTTGTTTTGAAGTATTGGAATCTCCACTGTTCATCATATTATGATTGTCAATGTGTAGAGGTCTGGAGATCAGGAGGACCATTACATGGTTCTCTGTGCCTTGGGATGGATCCTGTAGTTCCTCCTTAATGCCTTAATCACAAGAATAATTCTTATTCTTCTGGGAATTTTGCAGCAAAATGCTGCGAAGATGTGTTAGTGCATGAAGGATTTAGCTTCTATGCTCATGGCAACATGATGGTCTATGAGCCTGTCCTGGGTTCAGCAGTAGCAGTCATTTTTCTCCTTCTTGGTAGCTGGTGCAGTGCAGTGTTTTAACTTTCAGCTTGGGAACAGAGCTGATAACAATGATGTTTTGGTTTGGCCAAGGACTTTGTGAGCCTCATGCTCTGCCAGGGAGGAGGGGAAGCCGGGAGGAAGCAGAGACAGGACACCTGACCCAAACTGACCAAAGAGGTATTCCATACCACAGCACGTCATGCCCAGGATGTAACTGGGAGTTAGCCGGAAGGGCTGGGAGACTGGGGGGTTGGAGGAGGTATGGGTTGGTGCTTGGTCAGGCTGGGGGGGCGAGTTATCGGTCGGCTGGTGGTGAGGTGATGTATTCTTTTCCCTTGTTATTTCCTTTATCATTGTTATTGGTAGTAGCAGTAGTGATTTGTGTTATACCTTAGTTACTAAACTGTTTTTATCTCAGCCCGTGGGAGTTGCATTCTTTTCGATTCTCCTCTCCATCCCTCCAGGAGTAGGGGGAGGGAAAGAAGGAGGGGAGTGAGTGAACAAGTTACCTGACTTGGTTTAAACCACGACAGAGCCTAAGTATGCGTATTTTGCTTATGCATCATATGGACCAGCTGGGTTGGATTGAAAATGCTATGACTCTTAAGAAAGAGGCAGCCATGTGTAAGAGTGAGAGATCTGTTGCAAGGTTGTGTCATGGTTAGCATCAGCATTAGGCAATCTTCCTGCATCATCAGCAAGATTATTACTTCATTTCTGAAGAAATCCCTTTTAGTCACTTGCCTGAAATGTGTGTGTGTGTGTATATATATACGCATACATCCATCCCTATGTATGTGCTGTAGTAAAAGGATTACTTGTTTGAGGTCAGGATTTGGAAGAGAGAGAATTGGAATGTAATCAAATTTTCCCTTGATTGCAGGGTAGCCAGGACTTCATCCAGGGGCTTTTAGCTTTCCATGCTGGCAGTAGGTATCTGTTGTTCTTAATATACTAGCGAGGCACAATACTTATCACATTTCATGTTTCTTGAATCTGAGACTAATAATTGTGTATGTATAATAAATTTAGGTAGTAATTTTTAGGGTATGTTGTTGCTATCTCTTGACAAAGAGAGAAATCACTTTAAACTGAGAGCATGCAAAAGATGTCCTACATAGTTTACTTTATCTGTGTAAGTTGTCCTCTGTAAAATAGAAGATTGTCAACGTGAAAATGCCTCCCCAGCTATAATCGTTGGGGTGTGGTGGGACAAGGGTCTGCTTTTAATGCTGAATTTGTAAACAAAGCAAAGTAACAAACAGCACCTGGCAGATTGCAGGTGCCCTCCAAAGCCAAATTCTGATCTGTTTCCTCGCTCCTTTTGTTACTCCTCAACTCATTTGAACAGTAGGGAATGTTTTGATACCTGCAGTTTATGCTAGTCTGTCTCATCTAATACCAAGAAAAGAAACAGAACATGTTAAACAATATGACAGACTTGCTGGCAGCCTTCAGATGTTTTCTCATTGCCTTTTTTTATCTTTTTTTTTTTTTTTTTCCCTTCTGAGTTTGGCCTTTGTCTATCTCTAGTCATTCTTTCTAGGTTTTCCCCCTCTTCCTACCTTTTAATTAACTTTTTAATTATTAGACTTCCTTTTCTAGTGCTTTGCTTCAATGCCAAGAGGAGTCTCAACTTTCCATCTGCCATTTGTATCTTGTCTGTCAGTTTTTCCATGTTGCCCTGTGTTCCATCATGCCTTCAATATGTGACAAAGGTGACCGAGTTTGGTGATTTCTACTTGTCTTACTAAATTGCTTTTGTCAGTTGAAACTGTTAAGTAGCTGGGCTGGATCTAAAACTTCCATGGTATGTCAGATCTGAAATGGTGCATTTTAATGGTGCCTGGATGGAAGACAGAACTATAATTTTTTGCACAACAGGATACGATTTGTGAAATGTAAAGCATGAGTAAGCTGCTTCAGCAGAGTGTAGTGTTGGTGGATTTGAAAAGCAGTTCTGAATAACTAAAGCATATTTTAATCTCTAGGTTGGACAACAAACTCTACTCTTCCTCCAACATCACTGCTTCCAGCATCACTGCATGCTCTTGCTGGTATCATCTCTTCTTCTTTGACCAATGTCCATTTTTTTCATCTTTTTAAGCTTCAGCATAGTCAGCCTGAAATCTAGTAGCCCATCCACTTATTCTTTACCAGATTCTGAAATTTTTCTTTTGGTGAAACTTTGATTCTATTGAAGTCTGTAGGGATTTCAGCACTGACTTAACACGTTGGTTTGCATTGGTGTCCTGTTTCAGAATCAGTAGAACTGTCTGTCTTAGGCTTCACTTTCTTTCAGAAAACAATAAAATTTATACTCTCTGAACATCCAGGTCTGCTTCTTTTAGTGGCTTGTTAACTAGTTTACTGATCAGATGTATTCAAATACCATTATACTTTTCTTTGCTCTTTCTTTTTAAATGTGCACAGGCTCCTTGAGCAGTCTGTGGTGTGTTTACATCTACTTCGTAATCTTCTCATGGATGTTTTCATGGGAGTTGTTTTGTAGTGTCTGATAATGGTGCATCTAATTTTTGCGTTTTGTTCATAATTTTTTGCTCTGTTAACTGTATCACAGTAGGTATTTCCACATAGGAGGAAGGTATATTTATCCTTAATGTACTTTTCAATCTACAGAGCAATACATTTCACTTCCAGTTTCTCTGTCCTGATTTTTTTAAAGTAACTTGCAAGTAATAATTCTAATCTGATTGGGATGTTTTCGTACACAGCATACAGAGAAAGGAGCCAAGATAAGAGGCTGCGATAGTTTGAATTGGAAGTTTAACTTAGGGTAGAGGTGTACTGTGGGGGAAAAGCTTGTGGAGAGCACATTTTGCTTTATTGACATAGTGAAAAAACAGCTGATCTCATCTAGAATGACTGACTAAGGTTCTGCTTTATCTTTTGCTATTTCTTTATGATCCTCTACTCTTACTTATGGAAATAATATAGGTAAGATAATGAAGTTTGACAAGACTTGGGGCCTTTAATATATTCTTCACTTTTGAAGGTTATACTATCATACAATCTTCTTGGTTATTTTTATCATAACTCCTTTAATTAAGATTTCTCTAACACAGGTAAAGCTCCCAGCTATAAACCCTAAATATCCAAGCAGAATGCCAAATGTTTCTACGAACAAGGAATTTAGTGGGAAAAATAAACTTTCCTTACCACCCATGTAAGTAGTATGCTTATGAAATTTATTAAATTCCTGAGCAAGTACTATTACTATTTGTGAAAGTGCAGATTAGTGGTTACGTTTATGGGCTTCATGGATCCTTTACTGCTACTAAACTTGCTATTATCTGTGGTATTTTTGTTGTTTGTAAAACTATTTTAGTAATAGCACTTAAAGTCATACAGGAAAGCTATTCAGTATAACTTTGCTTTAGGAAAACTAAGCATAGAGTTGCATGTCTTCATGTAGCACGCTTTTATTGTATTCTAAATTGTCTTGGTTTTGTCCTCAATGCCAGTGTACAGATTCAAATAATAATGTCTATTGTTAGTTCTGTAAACATAGGTTACAAAGACACAAGTGGGGCTACTACTATTTTAAGAAAACACAAACTGTAGCCTGTGTAAGATCAGTCACAGCAAAACTACTGCAATGAACATGGAGGATAAGTCTTTTAAGGAAATTATTATATCACCCATGATGTGATGTAGTATCATCAGCTTTGTGCAAAACTGAATTGTTTCTGTGTACTTTGTCTTAAAAATTTATTGTGCAGTCATCAGTAATCCCAGTATGTTTTAGAAATACATTAATGATGCAGAATAAATTAGTAAACTGCCTAATGAGCAAATCTGTAACAAAATTGCATTTTTGTGCAGCACAGAATGAGTATTGTCAGCCTTTTTTGCTTACACATTCTTGTGTGATTTTCATTTTTCACTTTTTTTCCTCTTAAGACCAGAGCAGTGGTCTTAATTCTGATAATCTTCAATTCTTAGATTATTACATGTGGAATATATGTTTAGTTATTTAGAAATAAATTATAAGGATAATTCCCTTTCTGTGCAAAATGAAATTTTACCATCTAATCCCCATTTTTGTTTACTTATACTATTGTTTTCCTTAATATATCTGGATTTACAGGCCTGCTCAGAAAAAAAAACGAAGCAGTAAATTTAGCAAATTAATTAGCAATGGTTATGGGACTGACTGGCTTCAGCAGTGTACCGGAAGAAACAAAAACATTAAAGAAACATCAGAAAATAGTGATCAGTCCAAAGGTATCATTTTTGAAAGTTGTTTCTTTTCAAGCGAGTTGGGATCTCAAGGTAACAGCAGAGGGCAGCCTGAATCACTTCTCTTTGGATACGGTGAGACTTAACTGAATTGCTCTGCTTAGCTTACAGTTCCCTATGGGCAGCTAAAGAAAAGTGTACTCCTGTTTGTAGTCAGCGAAGGCAGGGATTTAATGGATTTTTTTCCATCTTTACAATTCCAGAAGTATGCTCGGTTCTAATCCAGGCGCTTCTGTGTTTTTGTGAAATGTTGCAAAGGCACAGCTGTCCTTCTGCCTAAATTTAAGCAAAATAAAATATTTGTTGCCTATTTGTTGTGAATTGTCTGTGGCCACTAATATTGTTCTGAAAACTACTTTGGCAAATGTCATTGATACTGATGTTTAAGAAATAGAGAACTATTCGTAAGACTTTGTCAAAACAGATATATGTGCATTGTAAAGACAGTGGCATTGTAACAGTTTTATTAGAGAAAAAACATTATTTGATGTTTACCTACGATTTCAGGCCTTTCTTTGTCATGCACAATTGCAATAGCTATGAAAGACATCATTTGAAAATACTTAGGAAGAAAGGTTAAAGGGTGGAAAATTCCCCTTCCTTATGTCAAAGACCTTTTGTTCAGGCTTTTTACAATGGCTCGGTAACCATGGAGGGTATGTCAGTTTCCTATAGCAACCTTTTAAAATGCTGTTGAACACAGAGGTTGCAAGTTCCAGAATTTTGTTTATTTTTTTATTTGTATCACTGAATGCTTTTGTATACACTGGGGGTTGCCATGACTCCCTTGATCTTGGTATATCAATGTGTGAAAGGCTTAGAGGACAGTTAATTTACTTTCTGTGACACCTTAGCACTTTCTGAATTCATCATGTTTTCCTTCCATCAGTACAGCAACAGTAACTGTGTTTGTGTGTGTCTGTGTGTGCTGAATCTTTTCTTCCAGGTGAGTATCAGAAGAAATCAGGCAAACAAAACTAGAAGTTGTGTGTTATTGTTCAGAAATAAAACTGGTATAAAAGTAAGGGATGAAACCAGATTTCAGTTTGGACCTGAAAGAGGATGCATGACTTTGAAGAGTGACTTCTTGGGTTAGCTTAAGTATCCAAACTCTGGTCATGCAGAGATGCTGCCTTAGGAGATGGAATCACCTAACAATTGAGCTGTGGAGCCTAAAAAAGCTCTTCCTTAGCATGAAAGAACCTTCATTATTCTTTTGTTTTTGGATGCTATTGAACTTTCTTGTGCACTGACATTTTTCTTTTGCATTACTGTAACATGAAAGGATTTTTCATTTTTTGAAATCTCAAATTCATTCATTTAGTGATAATCAATTTCTTTAATGTGAAATTTGCCTTTGGATTTGAAGGAAGCTGGAGTTTTTTTTTGGAGTAATCATGTTGGTTTGGTTATACCACCTATGCATAGAGACCAAAATGATGGGTATACTCAAAAGACTGCTGTAGAGCCAGTATGCTGCATAGTTTGATGTATCTTCAAAAATAAGATGTATCTAGATATCTTATTTTTGAGATGCTTTTCTTTTACAAATTCTTAGATAATACCTCCTGCTTTGCTTGTATTGCCCTCCTTTGTTGATCATAGCTACATTCTGATTGAGAGAGATTCTGTATCTCGATATAAAAGGAGTTTTTTGGTTTTTAAATGTTCTTAACAGTGTGGTTTCATCCAGGCACGTGCTTTGATTCAGTTTTGACCTTTTCATTCTTTCAGGTATGCGCTGAAGGTAGTGCTTGTATTTTCCCACTTAGGTAATTTTGTCTGCTCATCCAAAACAATTGCCAGCATGAGCACCTTGCAGCTCCCTTTTGAGATGGAGCTTTCTTGGTTATGTCTTGCACAGGATAAGTCCAGGACATCAGGCAGGAGATACATCCCCTTCGGTATGTAAATCTGTAACCCATGTATGCTGGCTTACAGATTTACATCATATGTGCAAACCTTGTAGGTAGCTTCTCTATCTTACTAGCTAAAATATAAAAGTACTGGAATTTGTATGCCTTTTGATGTGAGAGAAAAACTGAAAATTATAATTGACCTTTTTATTGCAGTTGAAGTTATCCAAAGAACTTTAATTTTTATTTAATTTTTTTTTTATTGCAGATTCAGAGCCATCAGTCTGAATAAGCACCTACAAGCAATGAGTCAAAGCCACTGCTGAGTTAGGATATATCCTTAAAATCCTATAAATAATTGAATATTTATTATAAAGCCCATTAGAAAGTGGATGCAATTTCAGTATGATATTTTTTGCTAATACTATGAAAAGCGAAGTTTTTAATAAGTAAACGGTAATTTTTAGTCTCCTTTTCAGAGTGTACTCAGTACATTGTACACCTTTGAATCTAAGAAGATTTAAAAATGTGTAACTGAATATATATTTGAACAGAATGTTGAGAGGATTTGCCTTAATATTGCTTTTCTTTAGAACCTTGATATGAAAATTGATTGGAAATAGGTAAACTTGTTGCTAATCTGAACCCTCAAAATTTTCAGTGAAAGTTGGTGAAAGTTTTGCTGTTGTTGTTAGATCCAGCATCTGAGTCCATCTTTGGTGTTCATTCTAACCAACAATTCATCTAAGTCATATTTACAAAAATAAAAGTCTAAAGCATATGAAAAAACTTGAAAGTACAGTTATTGGTTAATCAGCAAAGTTTTCCAACTGTACAAAAAGCTTATAACAAGCTGTATCTGGAGGGCAGGAGGGAATTACTACCTTAAAGCTGTTTTCACTTACAATTTGTTGCTAAGTAATGCTTAAAACCAAATAGGAAGACTGTTGATACCCTTAGGTTTTCAATTACAAAACTTTACACCTAATACAGTAATCACCAGAGCTGCATGATATTTTCCAAAAATAAAAGCGCCATTTTATGGTATTATTTCAGTATTACTCAGTCTGGGAATTCAGCTGTCTTTGTTTGATAGTCTTTGGATAAGGTTATAATTTTTACTTTTAGCATCTGTAAGAAAAGTGTAATAGAGGGCTGGGTCTGTTGTGCCCATCAATGGTAAACTGCAACAGTAAAGTAATTTATTTGTATGACAGCCTTTGTAGCATACTTTAAGGGTATAACTATCAGCAGTAGTGCTACTTTACAGTCTCACTTTTATCTTTTGACTTCCATTATAGGAAAAACTGCTTTTGCAAATACTGTTTGCAGTTACATGATTTACTGTCCAAAACATGAAAGAAAGGGGAAATAAGAGGTGATGATGAAACTCTTTGGAGTTAAATCGCTTCATGGCAGGGCAGCCAAGTGTGTGTGTGTGTGTGTGTGGTGGTTATGCTCATAGGGACTAAGAAGGTATTTTGCTCTTAAGCATATGTTAAGTCCATTTCAGTCTCTTTTGTAGAAAGTTTTCTGAAAGGTGTTTAGTACAAATGTACTGAAGAAGTTGGAGACAGTTGTTATCACCAAAAAACCCCCAAACAACCCCAACTAACATGGGTAAAAATATAGACAAATTTATAAATCGCCTGTTCACACAGACTTGAAAGTGCTTGCTGTGCTGAAGCCCTCAAAATCTATTCCATAACATAAGAATTCCTGTGTGGCTGCAATACTGCTGACCTGCAAAGAAGAATTCTAGTAATTCTTTTCTGTATTATGGAATTATATTATTTATATTATATACATTAAGATGTATACAGATCTTCCTAAAGCAAATTTATTACATTGAGTTTTTTGATATCTAGGTCCTCTTTACTTTTGAACAGTTCTTTGTCAGTATTGGAGTCCTTGTCCAAACCTGTCAGAATTTTTAGGCAATTGTTGAAGGCAGAGACAGAAAGACAACTGAGATCCCAGCATGGTCACTCAGCACTGTTTTGTTTTATTGTACTTGTGGTCTTAGAAGTGTTTATATTGCTGGTTTTCAGATATTTTAGAAGTCTAATTGTAAAAATTATATCTTAGTCACTATTAGGTAATATCCACATGACATTCTTACATTCTTAAAAGCTTACTTACATGCGATTAATGTACACTCAGCTTTCCTTAGTCAAGCCAAGGAGATATTTGATCTGCACTGTCAGTCAACTGAGTCTTCATGGATCACAGTTTGACTACTATGAGGTAAAATATTAACAGATTTCTCTTGGTAAGAGCAGGTGGAAGATCCTGGAATTCCTGCTTGTGAATTCTTGATAGTGCAGAGCTGCAGCAGAAGCATAACTTGCCAGTTCTCCAAGAGCTGTGAAATCAAAGTAGTGTAACAAATCACAAAGTCCCAGCTGGAGGATGGAAATCTGTTGCTTGAGTTCACCTTGCTTCAGTAGTTATGTTTGTTATTTACTTGTGAGTCAATGCAGTCATGCTGCTGGCAGTTTTAAAAGTCATGAGTAGTTCCATGTGACAGCAGTGGAAGCTTCTGGGTCTGGGAGGGTTTTCAGTGTTATTCAGAGAGATGCCAAAGTTGAAAGCTGGGTAATTTCTTACAGAATCTAGCCGTATTGTTTTAAATGCTGAAATGTTTATTTAGTTGCGTTGTGCTCCATTTCTGACTTGAATGCCTTTAAGTAAGAAATTATCTCACTTCTTACTTTTGAATACTGATTGATTTGCAAGCCCAAAGATAAAACAAAAGTGCAGTTGCATTTTATGAATTGAACCCAAGTATACTGAATATGTGAATATTTTTAAAAGAGAATTCCAGATACAGATTTAAAAATAACTTGACAGTTTAGGTACCAAAGAGTAACTTTGTTTTTACATGCAACTGTTTTTCCACAGCAGAGTCTAATGGCTGTTTTCATTTTAACGTGACTGAATATATACTTCATTCTTACCACTTAACGTCTTCTTAGACTAGACTTGAATATAAACATGTTTTCAGAGATGAAGGATACACATACATTAACTTTCTTTGTATAGCAATGCACGCAACAGTTGAATTGCCCATGCATTTCTTAAGCATCTAAAATTTCATTGATTCAGAATATCCATTTCTTAAATACTTGTACCTGTACTGAGTAATGCAGACTTAGTTGTAAAAGATGCAGGATGAAGCCAGCTCTTTTCTGTGAAGAGTGTAATGTTCTGGTTTTGCAGTTCTCTGCAGATCATTTTTCAGAATGTAGTTATATATTATGCTATAGCCTGGAAAATAAGCTAGAAACAGAAATACAGAAGTTCAGTGTTAACATGTTTTGCCCTCCTATTAATAGTATTACTGATTTGTCCTCCTATTAATAGTATTAATGATAATAAACATCCAGAATGACAAGAACCAAAATGCAGTAGGTAAGTATCCAGACAGCTACACTGAATTATTTGACTGATTAACTATAAAGATGGTAAATGGTGAGCAGGAAGGGGTATACTTATTTTAAATACTACACTGTTATCATTGGCTGGTGCAATGGCCAAATAAACTACTGGTCAGGTAACTCTGGTTCTGTTTTCAATGAAATTTTCCAGACTCACATAGTGGTCTTTGTATTAGCACTTGTACTCCTCAAATAGAGGAAAATGTTGCAATGCTTGGAACCTGATGGAATCCAGCTCTCCCAATGGGAAGAATGTGTCTTTGGACATAAACTGGTGGGACTGCTTGAGAGGGCTTTAAACTAGAATCAGTGGCAGAAGGGGATACCAACAGGATTGCTGAAGGTAAGCCAAAGGTTGACATGGTATTGCCTGAGGATGGCAATGCTAGTGGGAATATTTACACTGCTTCTGGGAGGATGGGGGGCTCGGGAGCGTATCTTAAATACGTGTACACCAACATTTACAGTATGAGGAAAAAAACAGGATGAACTGGAAGTGTTGGTCAGCTCCCAGAGCTGATATCATTGGTATTAGAGACTTGGTGGAGTGAGTCCCATCACTTTGTAGCGAATGTGGCTACACCTGGCTGGTGACTGTAACCAGTGGTGTTCAATACATTTATCAATGCTCTGGATGCAGGAGTTGAATGCACCATTGCCAGATCTGCTGATGACACCAACTGGGAGGCACTGTTGACTCTTTTGAGGGACAAGAGGTGTTGCAGAGGGATCTAGATAGGTCAGAGCATTGGGCAGTGATTTATGGGGTGAAATTTAACAAGTTGAAATGCTGGGTTCTGCACTTAGGACAGTGTGACACTGGGCACAGATATAAATGGGGAGAGACATGGCTGGAGAGCAGTGCTGCTGAAAGGGATCTGGGGGTGCTGGTCAGCAGTAGGCTTGAAAAATGTGAGTCAGCAGTGAGTCCTGGCAGCGCAGAGGGCAAACTTCATCCTGGGGTGCATCCAACATAGCATGACCAGCTGGTCAAGAGAGGTGATGATTCCACTGTATTCAGTGTTGATGCAGCCTCACCTTGAGTGCTGGGAGCAGTTCTCTGCCCCCACAATTTAAGAAGGATATGAAGGTCCTTGAAGGCATCCAGAGGAGGGCAACAGAGCTGGTGGAAAGGCTGTAAGGCATGTCCTGTGAGGAGCAGCAAAGGACTTTGAGCTTGTCTAGTGTGGAGAAAAGGGGGCTGAGGGGCGACATCATTGCTCTCTACAGCTCCCTGAGGAGGGAGAGTGGAGAGGGAGGTGCTGAGCTCTTCTGCCTGGGATCCAGTGAAAAGACATGTAGGAATGCTTCAAAGATTGGACATTGGGAAGCATTTCTTTACTGAGTGGTCAAACATTGGAACAAGCTGTGCTTGAGGGGAGTTCAGTGCCCCAAGCCTGGCAGTGGCATTTGGACAATGCCCTTAACAACATGCTTTAACTTTGTCACCCCTGTTCAGGCACTTGGATTAGATGATCATTGTAGGTCCCTTCCAGCTGAAAGAGTCTAGTCTGTTAGCAGCAGTCTGTGCTCTTTTCTCACCACGTGTTTTTTGCCATACCAAAGCGCTAGTAGAAGTGCACTTACAGGCAGGCTGTATGAATATACATGTAGAAAGACCGGTATAGACACCGCCACCCACACAACCTGGCTGTGCTCCTCGGCGTTGCCAGCACGTGTTTATCGTGTGTACATGTGTATTATCACATCATCCTCGCCGCCTCGAAGCAGATCTGCAGAGGAGCGGCAGGAGACCGGCTCTCACACCCAGCCCCTTACCGATGTCCGGGGCTCGACCGCCGCGGGCGGCCGGCGCGCCGAGAGTTAACCGCGCCCGGTGCTGCGGGCCCCGCCCGGGGCGGGGCGGGGAGGTGCTGTGCAGTACAGTTCCTTCCCGCCCGCCGCTGCTGGAAGGTGGGTCTGCCCCCGCACCCCGCAGCCCGGCCAGGTACACCGAGAGAGAGAGCTGCGGTTCACAGCGGTGGCTCCGCTGCCCCAGGTGAGAGCTCAGCCGAGCCCCTCCAGCCCCCGGTCACCGGGACCCCCGCGGGCGGGTAGCGGCGGAACCCTGGGTGCCGTTCTGTGGGGGAGCATACGACCGGTGCGGGGGAGCGGTGGTTAAGAGCGGTGGGGCCAGAGGCCTGGTGGGATGGGAGGTTCGGTGGTGCCGTTATTTTCGAGCTTGGGTGGATGGGAGCTGCCCGCCGGGCAGGAAGCCGGCTGGAAGTAAGTGATGAGCGTCGGGAGCGAGCTGTCATTGCATGCATAACCTCGATGGGGGACGCTCAGGGCAGAAAACAGTTTTGCAGGGGCTCGTCCGGTTTTCTAATGATGGATCAACGCTAACCTGGAGCTTTTCCTTAAAGATACTACTAACTGAGACTTTCCTAAAGAAAAAAAGCAACCCGACAAAACCAACCAACAAACAAAACAAAAACCCAAACCACCACCAGGAAACAAAAAAATTGTGTGTGTGTGTGTGTGTGTGTGTGTAATGAGATATAATGGATTCTGCCCGCTTTTGAATCACTGGGCAGAGGAGTCACACACATGTTGAAGCAGGCCATGCCCTTTCTTGTGCTGCATCCTGCTGGGAGCACGTTATTCTTGAGCATCAGTCTGATGGAGGATGGCTGCTGGAAGTTTTGACGTGTCTATAAAAATCTCCGTTTGTATAGGCAGTGTGAGAGTTTTACAGCTTTATGGTAATCGGGTGCCTGTTGTCTTCCGTGTGATGGCCGGAAGGGTCTGCCTTGGGAAAACTGAGTTCTGCTTGCTCCTTTCTGCTGTTTCTCCCAAGGCGTCTCCGCTTGGGTGCTGCTGGAGAGGGTACTCTGCACCTGTGCAATGTCAGAACTTTGCTGTCAGATTTTCTTGAAGTACATTGTTACTTAGAGCATCACAGAACCAACAACACTGTTAAAAATTATGTGGCTGCTTAATGCTGTGAGCAGCAGCTGAATGAATATCCTTGCTTTGTTTGCAGCCAGTTGTCATCTAGGTACATAAAAAGCATTTTGATGTTTCTTCTTATCTGATAACTCCTTGTTATTAGCACTCCCGGCACTGTAGTTTTCTTGGAACAAATGATGCATTTTTCCTGTGATGCACGTGGTATAATAGCGATGCCCTGTGGGAACTGATTAATCCTATGACCACAAGGATGCATAATGATTCTAAATGTGACTTTTATAGTTTACCTCCTTGAGCATGGAATCTAGGATATGTTTAGTATGTGTAGTACATGTGATGGTTAGGTCTGTTTAATAAAGGTTACATCTTAAATGAAGAAAATGTCCTTGAAAGTTTTAATACATTCCCATTATTCAGTGGCTTTTAACACACAGACTTCAGGTTAATCTTGTTTGGTTTTCAGTTCTTTCAAAATTCACATATTATGTAATTCTGTTGCAAGATTGATTTCTTTGTTTCCTTGTAGTGTAATCCTGGGGTTTTTAAGGATTACAGTGTATGTGCTGTCAGGCCTCTTATAAGGGAGGGTAGAGCAGAACTTCTGATTCAATACCTTCTCGAAGGGTATTCCCAGAAAGTGCCAACTGTGGCACATAGTTGTTGTCACTTCTGAAAATAACAACGAATGAATCATTCTATAATTTTGTCATTGTGTCGGCACCAAAACTTCGGTGATATATGCCTATTTGTATGCAGAAAGAAGATTTATAGTATAGGTTAATGGATTAGGAAAAAAGATGATAAAGGGCTGTGACTTTTTGGAGTTACGGTTTGTTTTAACCTTCCTTGCCCTTACACTGGAGCAGATAAAAATCTCTTATTGTCAGTATGAGGAGTTTAATGGAATGTATATTATGATTAAGGTGCTTCCTGAACTCTGGTTTCAGGCATATGGCAGTTAGAGATGAGCTTCGGAGGCCTTCTGGAGGCAGGGGTGAAGGAGGGCTAAGGCTAGGTCAGCAGTCACTGTCATTGTGGGAGGTACAGAAGAAAGAGGGTTGTTTAGTTAGCTATGAGACTTACCTCTCTTTGGCCCATGGGCCGGTTGTTGCTTGTACCATGGAACGGAAATAGTGGTGAGATGGGAGTTACCTTAGAAAGGGATTAGTTCAAGTTTTAGTGGTTTGAAGGCGGTGATACTCATTTTGCTGTAGTGGGGCTGGGTTATTTCGGAGGTTTAATATTCATGACAGCATCATGTATATAGAGGGTTTGTCTCACTGTTAATGATGCTAGCTTTATGTATTTTGACGCACTTTATATCTGATTTTTTTAAATATAATTCTAGGTATAAGCATACATGGCTCCTGATATCCCAGACAAGAAGAAAACTGATGATGAACAGTCTTCAAAGTAAGATTCGGAAATGAATTGTCCATGTTCATATTTACGTTCCTCCCCAAACTCATTACTCATTTAGTTTAAGATAAAGTTTATGGTACAAATATTGATTATAACATCAAGTATCTAGTAGAAGCTGTTCTGAGAAATGGAGTCTTTATGTGATTTAACCACAAACGCCCATGCGGTGGGCTTTGCTGGCTAGCTATTTTCATTTATCATGACAGTGAATTTTTCCAAACATAGGTGATGTTTGGTTGTATTATTTATTTATTTTTTAATGCAGTGAGCTGTTGAAATGTTGACTTTGGTTGCTGCATATGTCCAGGCCTACCTGCTCCAGGAGTTTAATCAAATATTGAAATCTGTTTCTGTAAACCTTATTTTAAGCTGCTTTTAGTAAAACCATACTTGCATGTTTAGCCCTCATATATTTGCGTTTTGTTTCAAACATCAGCTTTAAAACAGTGTAAGGGAAATAAATTGTCTGCTCCTTAGAGTTACAGGCCAAAGATTTTTATCAGTCAAACTTTGCCTTTACTGTTAATTCATGATATTGGTCCTATGTACAAACATTGATATGCTTATTTTATTGCCCATTTTACCCCAGGGTCAAAGTCCGCAATTAGATCTGGATGGGCAGATAACCAGTGCAAGTTAGTAACAGCCTCTAGGTGCAGGAAGGCAGTGGGTTGGAAAGCTTTGTTGGTAAGGTATGAGATGAAAAAGGTGAAATACAGACGCTGCTGAGGAAGGAAGCTGTATTTAGGGCGTGCATGAGGATGGTGGTGTTGGCACATACTACATGAATTTCCCTGTACTTTTAACAGAGGCCTCACCTTTTCCTAATTTATTTCCTGGAGAGAAGCTTTGATGCTGGTATTCTCATGAAGAAGGAAGTATTTCTTTTTCTTGACTGAGAACAAATTGTAAAGTGATTTCAAATCATATCCTATTTGTAAGTAAAAACTATTCCAATAAACATCACAGCCAGCTATTAGGTCTGCATTAGTGAGTGACCCATTTAATATGGGTAGAGAATCCCACAAAACCAAAGAGGAGAATATTTCAGAGGAGCAGCCTGGGAATTCTGCTTGTGTGAGCTGGCAAACTCTTGGGCTGTCTGTGCCTTTCCAGAGAGCCACAAACCTGTTCTTTATTTCTTCTGTAGTCAAACAGGTCTCTCAGAAGGAAGAACAAAGGCAACTGAAGCCTTTGGCTCCACCTCGGGCAGGATTTGAGAGAAGCAAATGGGGCATGTGGGAGATGGAGAGGAATTGCTACCAAAGGAGCTAACAGCCCACCCGCTTTGTTGGGCTGCTTTTTCTGTGCTGAAGGTGGTAGTGGTGGGCTGGGACAAATAGGGTGGATTGGGATGATAACTGTCTTTGGTTGTGCAGCTGCTGCTCCATAGTGACTGACACTGGGGTGAGAATTTCAAGAACAGAAACAACTGTTATACTGAGAATACTGGGGTTCTAGCTATTTTCTTCACTGAGGAACAGTTCAGTGAGCCCAGTATGGGCATCTAGGCCATTTTAGGCTTCTTAAGGTAACCCATCCATCCTGCACAAGGTTGACAGATAAGACATAGGACCTACAGAAAAGCCCTGCCTTTCTGGAGAGGCATTAGAAGGCAGACCAGATAACCTAAAACATCTCAAATAGTGCTGAACACCTCTGTTTAGGCTTCAGAGTCCCACCAAGTTTTTGCATAAACTCCAGGTGAACTCTTTTGTTTGTCTCCTCTGACAAAGCAGTTTGAATTTCCTGAGCCATGTTGTGACTGCAGTGAGCATTCATTAAGCTATTAAGTCGTCTTCCTGTGTGTGAAAGGTGTTTATTGCTTGATTCCATGTCTTGGAAACTATTTTGAAGTATTGGCCCGTATTTTGCTTAAGCTTATGTCTTTCCTTAAGCTTAAGTCTTTCCTCCCTGTTTCAACTGAATTTAAAATGTCAAGCACAGAAGGCAGATGTTTTATGATTAATTCAGCTTGCTTAGTTAGTCCACTACCAAATTTTCCATGAAGGCAATCCCATACGCTGAGGAATTCAGTTTTCCCTCCTTGCCTTGTTGTTTCCTGAATCTTCAGAAAGGGTGGGGATTTTTTTTTAAGCTGTCTGACTTGCTTATAGGAAACAAGAGGAAGTAAGTTCTTTTTACCTCTTCCAGATCCTAGCATTAGACAATGCTAAGGAATGTCTATGTAGGAAGGTGTCTTACTGCATATTCCCTGGTCCAGCTCCCAGTTGTTCTGCTCTCCATAAACACCAACCCTGGTTCACAGCTTTAAGATTATTTAAGATAAAGGTTGCACTGTTGCAGATGCATCCTACCATCTGGGCTTTTCTTCAGCAATTTCATCCTGTGTAATGAATGCAATTTTAAATATTGTGATTTATTATGAGATGCAAGTTGGTCATAAAATTTAGGATTTTCTTAAAGTAGTGCATCAGGAACCAAAATAAGGCAGTGCAGGCATACTTGGGTGTGGCATGTCCCTACTTTTACTGCTTGACTTCACAAAATTAGCATCTGTTCAATGCAGGGGGTTGTGTATATAGTTTCATTATGCTGTTGTCCTGGCAGAGAGAATTTTATCCATCTCTGCAACCCTCACCTGGAGAAAATGAAAGAAGACATCCTGTACCATTTTGCTCTTGGGACTGGTACCCATGATTTTCCAGCATTATTTGGAGATGTAAAGGTAAGGCAGTTTGCTTCATTCAGCCAGCCAGTGCTTTTCCATAGCAGGTGGAAGTGTAGCTGTCTTCAAAATAAGACTAAATGTGTCAACATACTACCAAATGAGGAGGGAATAGAAAGAGGATAAGCTTTTATGGGTTCTTGTCACTTTCAATATCAAACAAAATCTGGGATAATTGTTTCTTACTTCCCTTTTGCGGGGGGGGCTTCAAATCAGTAGCTGTCTTTTACTAGTTTAAACAGGATGAAGGAATTTGAGTGGTGTATAGAAGTGTGTTTTTTTGCCAGTTTTTCTTCATGGCCTTTTAGAATTTGTATGAGAAGAATCGCATCTGGTTCTGTTACCTGAAGGTGTTTGCATCCGTATGTTGATCTCTGCATGTTCTTTGATATAGTGAATCATGCAATTGATTTTGTTTTGTTGAATACTCTCCTCCCCAGTTTGTATGTGTTGGAGGTAGCCCTTCTCGGATGAAAGCTTTCATCACCTACATAGCTGAAGAACTGGAGCTTGGGAGCCCTGGTTGTGACTATCCTAACATCTGTGCAGGAACTGACCGTTATGCGATGTACAAAGTGGGACCTGTTTTATCTGTCAGTGTAAGTACCTCACTTACTTACTCAGTTATGGGACACGTATCATGGAATCATAGAATAATTAGGGTTGGAAGGGACCTTAAGATCATCTGATTCCAACCCCCCCTGCCATGGACAGGGACACCTCCCACTGAACCATGTCACCCAAGGCTCTGTCCAACATGGCCTTGAACACCGCCAGGGATGGAGCATTCACAACTTCCCTGGGCAACCCATTCCAGTGCCTCACCACCCTCACAGTAAAGAACTTCCTTTCTGTATTTAAGTTTAAACTCATCACCCCTTGTACTATCTCTGCAGTTCCTGATGAAGAGTTCGATGATACTGTTCAATGTAGAAAGTATGAAGGCATATTTCTTTTAAGCACTTAGTAGATGGAGTCATGTTTTTATGTTTCCACCAGCCATGCTCAAAATAGTGCACTCAGCTAATTAAGATTTCTTTTTTAGCCCTTTTTTTATGAGAGAGCAAATCTCTGAGACCTTCACTCCTTTCTTGCCTCCTTTTTCCCCTGTGTACCACAGAGGTGTTACAGGAATGACCTTGTAAATTTTTTTTATTAGACTTCCTATTGCCTTGTCCCTGTTCAGTGTCCTAAATAATATGGGGAAAAAAGTCACTTGATGTATATGGGATATTGGAAAAATTGGCTGTATCACATCCAGTGGCATTGTCCAGTGTGCTAACATAACTTAAGAGTAGCATTCCATGGGACTTGAAATGCATGCATGAGCTGCCGACTCATGTATGCATTTTAAAACGTCACACATTTAATTTGTTGATATGATTGCATACTTGAATTGCATAACTGTAGTATCATCCTACACCCTCTGAGTTGTAATTATTTCTTTATCATGCAAGTTAAAGTGAACTTACATTTGCTGAATTTTGTGACTAAACCACAGTGTCTGTACTTTGAAAAAGTAAATCGCTTAACTATTCACTAGCACTTCAGGTTCAGGTTTTTGGTGTTTAAGAACAGTTCTGCGATAAAGTGCATTTATCAGCTATTAGGAAATGACCCTGCTTATACTTTTGAGAATGTAAGTATTTTATAATTCATGATTTTTAGAAATATTATGCTTCATCTGAGTCTACCAAAGCCAGTGTGAGTCTTTCTGTTTAGTAGGCCCAGAGCATAGGGCCTACATAGAATGAGTTAGGAGACATTTGAAGAAAAGTAATCAGGAAGGAGATACTGTCCTGCTCCTTCTTCCATATATATTTTGTGTTGTCTATGTGCGTGCTGAATATGAATTTCTGCTTTCATTTCAGCATGGTATGGGCATTCCTTCTATAGCAATCATGTTGCACGAGCTGATCAAGCTGCTGTATCATGCCAAGTGTTCCAACGTAACCATTTTTCGCATTGGCACATCTGGTGGAATAGGTATTTCCCCTCTTGACTTCTTTCTTTCTTCAAACTAAGTCATGTGTGTAGGAGAGTAAAACATCTCACTGCAAGTAAGTAGTTGATGGTCAGAACAATTTTCTGCAGGAGAAGAATCATTTTTCTTCCATAATTTTGAAAGAAAAAAACAATATCTGTCTTTGAACAAAACAAACTTAAGAGGTCCGACGATGTGAGGAGAAGGACATTTCTGTCCTGTATGAAAAAGATGAGATAAGAAAGAATATATAGTGAAAAAGGTAAAATTTAATTATTTCAGAAATTATCTATAATAATGCAATGAAGCAGCTATGCATGCGTAAAAAGTCTCTTGGTGAATTCAGGGGCAAATCTGCTGCCTTTAAAAGAAGCAGGATTGGCTCAAGACCTGTGTTCTATATGTGTGGAAACAAAGGATTAACTACACTATGAAGCTATATCTATTTATTTTTACTGCAGGTCTGGACCCAGGCTCAGTGGTTATAACTAGAGAATCTGTAGATGCCACCTTCAAGCCTCAGTTTGAGCAGGTTGTTCTGGGAAAGACTGTAATTCGCAGTACAAACCTAGATGAACAGCTAACTAAGGAACTGATGCAGTGCAGCATAGAAATTGGTCAATTCCATACAGTTATTGGAAACACAATGTGCACTTTGGATTTTTATGAAGGTAAGACTGGTGACAGACTAACAGAAGTGTAATGATATGCGGTAACAGATGAATATCAAATAGTATTTTCAGTATTATTTTAAATACTGAATAATGCTTAACATTAAGGGTCCAGTTCACTGAGCAGAACACATTCTCTACTTTGAGCTGACTTGTCAACTACAGTGAACCTATTTTTCCTACACCTAAGATCAAGCATTGTGCTTAGCAGTTTGCTGTATCAAATTTTTAATTTTGTGGAAGTTTATTTCCCCCCACCTCCAATAGATCCTCTGAAATACATATAGTCTATTACACGCTTTTTATGTACTCGGCAGTTAGGTGTGTTTTCCATAAAATTTCAGTAGCCTACCAAGGCATCCTAAGAGGGTTAGAGGAGTGAGAATTATTTGTGGCTGGTTTGGGCTTGTTTTATTTGGGGAGGGAATGGTAGTGTTTTGGGGGTTGTTGTTCATTTGTTTCACTCTGGTTAGGTATCTAAAGGAAATATTTCTAAAAGAAGTGTTGGGACTTTTTTCCCATTGTGGATTTTGAGAAAAGTGATGATCAGACAGCAGAAGACAATATTTTGCTGAGTTGTGTCAGTGCTTCCATGTAGGAGGGGCAAAACTCCAAGGCTTACTTTGGATAAACATGGAGATATTCAGGTGCTTTTCTGATTTCCCAAATGTGTTCACAAACATCTTTCAAACCTTATCAGAACAGAGTGTAGATGGCACCTGGTACTTCTATCTCTAGCTGTTACTGAGTAGGTGACAAAAGGTGCAATGCAGAGTCATGGTAGTTCTCAGGTTTGTTCAGAAGCAGATGCAGTCAGTTTGCCTATCTCCTTAAGCACCAGTCACAGGTGCAAACGATGCTAAGAAAAAGGTGTCAGGATGTTTTTAACTCGTACAACAAAAACTGAGGGCAAGCTCACAGGCATTAATTTAGGAGTCCATCTCCTGAAAACAAGAAGGTATGAGGTAAAACACTGTAATTTAACTTTACTGTGCATATGCTGCTAGTCTTTTCTCTATAAGTGTATTCTTGAATAATTTTAATAATTTTTCTCAAAAAACCTGTAATAGTATTAGCTAATTATCTTAAGATTTTCTTAATCTCTTACCTTAGAGAGTCTGAAACTAATAAAATGGTCAGCTTTTAAGGTAGCATCAGGAAAGCATTTTCAAGCCTGATGGTTTTTCTAAACAATGAATAAACAGAAAAAGTGCATATAGCTTAAAGTTTATTGATGAATTTTGATTCATGTTGAAAGTATGGGAATCCACTGCTTTTATTTTCCCATTTATGAATTTGAGAATTTAAGCTGGAGAGGACCAATTAAATTGTTATTATTCACATTACAAAAAGTACAAGTAATATGTAGAAGCTCTAGCAATAGCTGAGAATCACTTTGTCCTGTTTGTCTTGAACATTAAAATGGAGAGTGCTAGTAAAAGCTGGACAATGTATAGGGGAAACTGCAATAATTATGTGTTTTAGAAACAAATTGTTCTGTGACTTTGTCACACTGAAAATTTCTAAAAAATTACTTTGTAGGACAAGGTAGGTTGGATGGTGCAATCTGCTTATACAGTGAAGAAGAGAAACTGCAGTATTTGAAGGAAGCTTATGATTCTGGTGTCAGGAACATAGAGATGGAGTCTTCTGTATTTGCTGCAATGTGTAATCTCAGTGGTGTCAAAGGTAAACTAACTTAAAGTCACTTTATTCAAGCTATGGGAAGTTTTTTGCATTGCAGGGGGTTTGTAGTAAAAACTGTGAATCAGGTGTTAACGTACCTTCTGCATATAAAAAAAATCAATCCTGGTTATAGTTTTGTTGCTATGATTGTTTCATTTGTATCATATGTATTCACAATTTATGCAAACTTCCTCACATAGTTCTTAACACAGTTTAGTTCTGTCATTTGCTATTCCAACCGAAGGCAAGCACACAAATAATTGAAGTACCTAATTATACTATAGTATTAATTTGTTTTCTTCAGTTAGTTGTTGAAGTTCAGAGGAAGCAACTGGTTAATTTAAGCAGTTGTGTGATTCTCATATACATAACACTAATATCACTTTCTATAATAAGAAAATTGAAAATGTATCTTGTGTAGACTTACAGCTTTAATTCTTAAACAGTTGAAGACTTTCAGCAGCATCATGAATAAAGCATTCCTAATCATAAACAGAGATTTTAACTTTTTCACACGAGCCAACTAATTTTCAGGAAAGATTATGGGGAAAAAAAATAACTACCAAACAAGCAATTACAAATAATGTAATGCAGTGCCTTTCTACTTACCATGTTAACTGTCGTCTCTTGCTTTCCTTGGCAAAGAATTCACTTTTCTTGGCAAGAAGTCTCCCAGTTTAAAACATCAGTGTTTCTTAAACTTCCTTAAACTCAAGGAGGATGAAAAGAAGCAAAAAGGCCAGCAGTTATTTTAAGCATCCTTGGTTCTTACTGATTTGAGAGTCCAAAAAACCAACCCATGCTATTATTGAGCTATTATTTTTGCTGTCTCTGCTTTGCAGGTCTTTAATGTGTATTACTGCTTGTGCTCTGTAAATTGCCACTAGCAGAGATCCCAGGTACAGAAGGGTGACAGTAGAGCTCAGCTTGAGTAAAAGGAGGGATTGTACCTTTGGGGCTCTGATCGCCAAAAGACAGCAGATGAGCCTGAGATGATCCATGAGATCCTTATATACTTGCAGTGCTCCCCACCTATGAATGTCAAAGCGGCTCATCTGCTGGCTCCTGAGGAGTGGCATCTACAGTGCAGGGATCTGGTAGATAGCAGAGGCCTGTAACTACACCTGCTAGAACAGTGTCGCTGATTACTTTCTACCAGTCAAGGCCTGGGTACTTGTGAAATATAGTTTCTACCCAGGAAAACATAAGAATCATGATACAAGTATCTGCAGGTGCCTGAGAGCTCTTGCTTTACTAGTGTAGCAATCAGTTGTCTTAATCTTTCTGTAACTTTTTTATATCACCCAAAGCATGCTAGTCCCCAAGCATCTTATGGTACTGTGCTCTGTGGTTTGGGTTTGTTCTCTTGCATTTCCAATATTCTAGCTGTTTGTTCAAATGTTTATGATCTTGGACTGTAGAAGTGCCAGAATGTTATTCCTAATTAATGCTCTCTTTTAATTTCTAGCCGCTGTAGTGTGTGTCACTCTTCTGGATCGGCTTGAAGGGGATCAGATTAGTAGCTCACATGATGTACTTGTGGAGTATCAGAAAAGACCCCAGAAGTTAGTGGGATATTTCATTAAGAAAAGTCTTGGGAAAGTATGAAATACCCATCTTTGTTTCATAGAAGCAGAAGGGTTTTTGCACAGCTGAAGTCATGGTCACATCTTCTGTGCATTAAAGGTATTTTGCCTCAGAACACCTTACAGCATTCCTTGTGTCAAAGTTAATCATTTATGTCAGTGTTTTTTGGGAATGGACTTCAGTTAAGTTTTGCTTAGTTATGCATTGCTGGATTTAAGACTCACTTTTCTGTGAACTGGAAAGTGGATCTGCTGTGAAGGACAAGCGTGCTATAATATATGAAAAAGTTTTATCTCTGCTGTGAAAGAAAAACTAGGAAGTAAATCAAACTTTATTGCCAATTATTTGCAAACCAATAAATTAAGAATGCTAGTTCCTTTCTGGTTGTTAAAAAATTATATGAATTTTAATTGTCTTTGTTGATTCACTTGTAAAGAAAAATTAAAATGAATGCAATTTATTTTTTGCAAGCTTTGACAAATAATTTTATTTTCATATATTAAAATTTAACGAAATTTAATGAAAGTGTGGGACTGAATTTTCTAAGCTTGACACTGGGCTGCTGAATATCTGTATTTCCTAGATACTGATCCAGTGAGGTCATTCATACCCCATTTTAACTACATGATTGAATCAATACCCAGGAAACATTTATGTGTTAAGTAACTTTACATTAAAGAACTTGAAATCTTTTGCTGAAGCAAGGCTCCTGCTTACTGAAGAGGAACCAGAGGCATTCAGGAGATGCAAAGCATATTTGCAGCATTGCATTATGGTAGTTCCCTTCTTTTAATTTTACCCTGTTTCTTTTTAAATTCCCTGCAGGGATGTCTTACACTAACTAGACCATGTTGCCCAAGGCTCTGTCCAACCTGGCCTTGTACACTATCAAGGATGGAGCATTTACTACTTCTTTGGGCAACCTGTTCCAGATAAATACATAGTCAGCTAAAGAAAAAGGCATTTATCACTCTCTCTCTCTTTTTAAATTTCTACTGCAGTGGAGGGTCCAGTTCTAGCAGGAGTCACAGGTCAAAAGGGTCTGAATCAACTGTCAGAACAGCTGTCACTGACCCAGCTAAAAGAGATCTTTCTTTTTGAGAAAAAGTCTGCAGTACTCTGTTAACAAGCATGAGAATTAGATCTGAGAGGGGGTGATGTAGTTGTAAGCACATTCACCAAGAACTGGCAGAAAGTGGAAGCAATATGATGAAAACCTTAGAAAAAGGAAGGGCTGACTTGTAAATAGGAAGCTGCCAATGAGCATTAGTCTCCTTAAATTTGTTTGATTTTTCAGCTGGAGAAAAGCTAAAAATAATAGTTTATTTTTCTTTTTTTTTTTTTAATTTACTAATTTAGTCTTCCTTTAATTTTAGAAATGCATTTTCTCATTTATGCTCAGGATATACAATGAAAGTAAGTTTTCAGAGAGCGCCTTTTTTTCTCTGTAAACTAAAGGGAAGGAGTCAGGTGGGAATGGCCCCACATTTAAACAAAATGGGAACAAAACTGCTTCTCCCTTATTTCTAATTAAAAAAATAAATTAATAATATGTGCTTAACTATGCCTGGTGCTTTCTTGGGCCTTGCAAAAAGCCCTGTGAAGTCCCTTAGGAAAAAAGCAGCAAAGCACATTCTATCTCTTACTATCTCCTGTTCGCAGAACAGGAGCAAGGAGATAAAAAGGAGATCACTTAATAAGCTGCTTGCTGCACTCTAGGCTGAAGAACAGTTTTACCAAATTGACCAGCATGGGTTCACAGAAGACAGTTTGCTGTTGTAAATGAAATACTTACTGTTAGTAACCTAAAGAAGAGAAAAAATACGTTACCAAGAAAACAAAAAAGCCCCACCTAATGTGGCTCTGTGAAGCTTTGGGGAAATGTATTATGGCAGCTGTCCTGAAGATACGAATCTGAAATGGTGTGATTCGTCCTTTTAAAGGAAGGAGAGCAAGAATCTGGAAACTGGTTAAAAAGAAAAAGTACTTTTCTTACGGCTAAAATGTTTTTCTTCTGTGTTTCCTAACAGATGGAGTAAAGGGATGTATGACAATGTAAAATTAGAATTCAAAGGAGGCGAAGTATTCTCCTGTTTATACTGGTCACTATCCTGTAATGCTGTATTGCTAATGCAAGAGGGTGCTCTATTGACACACCTTACGTGCAATGAAATACTTTTCTTAGCTTCAGAGGAAACTAGTCAGAATTTTACTCTGATAAGAACAATTGTATTTTCCCTTGTGACTGCAACTGGACAGAGAGATAAAGAAATGAGTCAGCTTTGTGCATCCGGCAGTGAGATTGCCTTCCTGTAGGTTTTACAAAGACCTGTAAGACCATACAGAATTATATAATACTGGTGCGGCTTTTATAAGCTGGTTCAATTGATTTATATATCAGTTCTTTAATATTAGCCATTCACGTTCTTTCTGTAGAACATGTATTGGGATTTGGAGTGGTAGTATTTTAAAAAGCATATATAGAATCATAGAATAGTTGGGGTTGGAAAGGACCTTAAGATCACCTGGTTCCAACCCCCCTGCCATGGGCAGGGACACCTTACACTAAACCATGCCACCCAAGGCTCTGTCCAACCTGGCCTTGAACGTCGCCATGGATGGAGCATTCACAATTTCCCTGGGCAACCCATTCCAGTGCCTCACCACCCTAACAGGAAAGAATTTCTTCCTTAGATCCAATCTATCAAACTTCCCCTGTTTGATATTAAGTTTGATATGATGTTACATATATGTTTGCTATTATACAGGACAGTGTCTCCTGGTAGGTCTGCAAAGCCTGGAAACCTTGATTTCCAATCAAAAGTCTGCTCTGGTTCTCTGTGCCGCCCTGTACCTAGCAGTGCACGACAGAATCAGTTTACCCCAGAGATTAGAAGGGATAAAAGCAAAGCAGGAAGGTAGAAGATATAAATAGGGCAGAAATGTGAAGGGAGAAAACAGTGGTTTCCACCAATAGTTTGTTCTGTGATTCACAGTGTTCTTCTGGCCTGTTCCTTCCTTTTTGTTAAAGAAATGGTTGTGACCGTAATGAAGATAGGTCGAATGCATTTGTTTCACATATGCAAGAGACTGAGAATGTGCAATAACTTGAGTAGTGACTCGAAGGAGCGGATCTTTATTTTTGGCATCTTGATATACTTCAGAGGTTTTCTTTAATGGAAGGTATTAGAAATCCTGAAAAGAAATATTTTGGCATGACCTGTTGCTAGAAGCAGTCAGAGTATAAATGTTGTTATCTGTCATTTAAAAAACAAAATAAATAATTCATTAATTTCAGTATTTCATTAAAATATAAACCTGTAATATGCAGTATCTTTTTTAACGTGCTTCCTAAGCCCATGCAAAGGTTCTTCAGTGCACCGTGTAACAGAACTGGATTTTCTTCTCAAGTTCAGATCTCAATATATCCTGAATAAAATGTTTATACAGTTGAATCAGGGATGTATTTAATTGCCATTGACAAGAAAGGTGAAACTAAAGTGTGAATGTTTTTAGATTTGCCCATTCTCAGCTAATTATGTTCTGAATGCAGCACTCAGTAGTGCAAGCAGCAAACTGAGCTTTGGGGACTGGATCTGCATGCAACACTGAATGCAAAAAGCACAGGAGTGTGATTTGATGATGCTTATGGTTTGCTACAAGATGTTGAGATTTGCTTTACCTGGAAGTTTCTCAGTCTTTAAGCTGGAGTGACTTAAATGCATCCTTCCTCTGTCTAAAATAATTGCTATTCAATATTATACTCCAGAGTGTGAATTAAATTAAAGTTTTAAAAGTCTTCTGCCTGAAAAGAAAGGAGGTCACTGAACAGAGCAACATTAAAGCTGAAACTCTATGGTACAGTAGTAGAAGAGTAGTGCTGACAGGGCAATGCTTTTGCTCAGGCTACAGACAAAATCCAGCAGCAGAAAAAAGACAGAGACGGTTTTACATGACACGGAAACCTGATTCCAGATGCTTCTTGTTGATGCTGAGCTTGTAACTGTGAGAAAATTTTCAGTTTACTGTCAGCCTGTCATATTGCAAGAATAAAATTGCTGCCCAGCAGCTCAAACAAGCCACTGACCTGCTTGTGAGATCGGGTCTGCTTGTTTGTTCAGTGTACAGCTCCATTTTATTAATAATAATCTTGTTATTTGACCTTACCCACAATTAACATTTTTCATCGTATCCTAGCTTTGGCCACAGAAAGTGTCTTCCAGGAAAAATGCTACTAATTGATGTCATCCTGCAGGCATTTTGTCTGCAAAACAGGTCTGTGCTGTGTAAATATTTACAAGTAGTACTCCTAATAATATTGAAAGGAAAGCTTTGTGATCACACAGCAAACCTTGTGAAAGAAATTGTGGGTGGTGATAGGAAAATATGCTAGTTTACCATATTCCCAGCCATATTCTCATATGCATTCCTGTCTACCAAACAGTATTTTTGGCTCCTGGGCTTTAACCTATTTAACATAAAAAACTCTGTTTCTTTGAATGTGTTTGCTAACCAAGTCTAATTAGCTAAAATTAAAACTGTAAGCTAGACATGGCATGTTGATGATGTCATATTATAAAGCTGTCAAATTTTAAAACCAGACATGGATGCTGGCAAAACGTTCTCTGTCTTTTCTGCCCCATTGTTTTTGGATATCTTGCATTTTCTAAGAGTAAACTTTTCCGTTAAAATTGAGACAAAGCCTGCTAAAGCTGAGCAGGAAGGGGCAAGGTCATTGGCTTGTCCTCACTTGGAGACCTGAGTTTGAGCATATTTCTTTTTCTGTTTCAGCTGACAGTGTGCTGTTTTGTCTGGACAGGGTGTTGGGACATCCAGTGAGGTCATGCTTTGCCTAGAAAGGTTGGACCAGATGATCCTTGAGGTCCCTTCTAATCTGGATTCTATGATTATATGAAAGAGTAGAGCACATCATAATTAAAAATACGATCTTCTAATACCTGCAGTATTCAAGATGTTGTTGACTGCAGCCACTCTGTTAAGGAGACCTGAAAGCATGTAATTTATTTGGCCTACCAGCAACTGCGCTGCATTTGAACCCTTTTAAGCTCTTTGTTCATGCAGCTGCTAAACAAAGTTGCTATTTAAGGCTGGTACTTGCACAGGATACTGCTTGGCACTGTACTGAGGAAAGCTAGATCACTCAGAAGAGCTTCAGGGTGGCAGCAGTATAGCTGACATATCTTTCAAAAAATATTCAGAACTGATCTGCTTTTCCTACTTGTGTAATATTGTGTCTGTTGTGCCAGGGGTTTGTTTTGGGGGGCAGAGAGTGGTGCTTTGATTTCCTATTTCTCATATTTCTGTAACATTGCAAGTAACACAGTCAAGCTAATACATCCTGTTTCCTCTAAAGCTACTTTTAGAAGTGATTTCCCAGAATGGCACTGCAGGGATTATTCTTGGTTGAATGTTTTATGAGGTGTCTTTTATTTTCACAATTTTTTCCTAGATAAAACAAGTCTACTACTGGAGAACACCATACTAGGCAAGAATGAATTTCTTTCAGAAAGGACAATGATGTATGAGGGCAAATGAAGTTAACAGAACTCACTGGTGAAAGGTGTTTGTCTATTGCATGTCTTAAATGGTAAAATGAGGAGTCAGTAGTTCATTAGTACTGAATACTAATTGCACACAAAGTAGTTGTTTCCTGTAACCATGAAAAGCTGTT